ATAATCCCCGACCTCCAGAAGGCAAAGACTGGATACTGGTGAATCACACATTCTGTGTCCTTCAAAAACTATCGTACAAAGGTTATTTACAGGGGAGGTTTCTCCAGACAAAGCATCGGGTCTCACCTCGTAGGTGAAATTTTACTAAGTAAAATTGAATTTTCCAAAAAGTGTGGTAGGCAAGGAAACAAAAGAAATATAAACCAGCGACTTTAAATTCCTGTCTACTTAATAATAGATTGTTTCTTTCTTTCTGGAGCAGGCCCAGCTTATATGCTGGCATTGCTCTCAGTTCAGCTGCAACCAGCCTCTTTTCCTAATCATGATAACTAAAAAGTTAGCTGTGAGTGGCCATCAATATCTCCCTTGCAGGATTTCTTTTAATGTGAGATACTAACCCAACAATTCAGAAATGCATTGCAGAAAGACATGTATGTGATAAAGAGGGCCTACTTATTTTCTGATTATGATCTTCATGTCATCTGTTTCTGGAGAGGAACAAGGTACAATACTGAGAAATGAAAGGTACTAAAATCTAAGTGAATCAAACTCTACACCCTTAGGTGATATCCATGAGACTAGTGACTTTATTTTCCGAGTTTATTTAGAGAGCCCTTACTGAAGGAGACTCCCTCTTCTTGTAGCAATCAGTCCCACTATCAAAAATTAATTTTCATGCAACTCATTTCTTATTTGGATGTACAGTTTCCTCTCGTTCTGCTTGTAGTGGAAGAATGAACTCACTGGTCACCTGTTTCCCCTGACCGCCTCTCTTGACACATGACTGTGCTGGAATCCCACCACTAATAGCCTTGAGTACCCACTGCCCTACCCCTGCATGTCCTGTCCGCTCCTCAACCCTGCCTTGAAGTTAGTTGCAAGTTCTTCATTTCCTTCTATCTTATGGACTCTTGCATTGGCTGCTAAGTAACTTAGACATAAAACTGCGGCACGTTTGTGTTCGGTGTATAGATTATTGTAGTAAGAATGTACAGCTGCACTCCTGCTTCTACATCGGACCCTGTGTTTGCTTTTCATACAGTCACACTTCTGACTCCCACTATCCATCACAGCTTATATACTTTTGCTGTTCTACCCGAAAATTTCTCTGGTACAGTAACAAGATGTCAAAATAAAGTACCCATTTTACCAAAAAAAGATGCATTATTTTTCCTGCCTTTGAATTTAAGTAATTGTTTAACTTGACCACTTCTGTGAATAATGAAAAGGGCTGTTTCATTCTCAAAGCAAAGCCCAGGTAGTAAAAACGAAAGGGACAATCTAAGATACCATCAGATGTCACGTTCAGAGCTTGTTCTCGACTATTACCAATATTAACATCATAGGATTGACATTTGAATTTGAATTTTTAATGTTGGGCCATAGAAAAGCACAGAATGACTACCAGCTTAAACATGCCAACATACTTCCTGCTTTTAGGTAACCTTGAGAGCTGGAATAACTCCTGGAATTTAGAGCAGTGGACAAGCTGAGAACTGTTATTTTCTAATGGGAGCATTTTTCTTTTAATTTATCCTTTTAAAAATCTGCAAGATATGATGGCGTCTTAAAGCCAACTATCAACTGAAATAAATTTAATTTGTTTTAGTTCCTTTGCTAAAAATAAATTGATTCCTTAAGTCAATTATGTGCGTTGATTAGGAGATAATAGCAAAAGCATTTCTTCCCTTGAACACTCCATTGTCAGTTATTGTTATGTGTTGTATCAGAATGGTCTGAAAATAATTAGTTCTGTCACAAGGGGCTCCTTCTTACCGTCTTGCTTCCCCACCTGATGTATGAGAGGAGACAGGGGTTAAAGGAGACCACCAGCTTGGGTCTCTCTCACATATTTTTGCTTCAGTTCTGCTTGGAAGTGGTAATCCATGCCTGCCTCTAGGTGACCAACCCCCAAGGAATGTATGTTATGCCTGGTATAACAGCAGGACAAAATAACTCACTTTACTTCTTTTTGATTAACTTATTTTGGGATTTTCCTATACCCTCTACACATAAGGATAATATATTTCATTGGACATGTATAATTTACTGAGCTTTGCTATTACTATGAAACCTAATTATTACCGAAGAAGAAGGATTGCTGCCATAAATACTCTCATGCTAATCTTATTTCAGGCTAGCATTTCAGGTACTGTGCCAGGTGTAATACATTCTTCAGGTGCAAGGTAGGAGGAAATATTTTCTGATGTGAGACGCTTACACAGCCAGTGAAACTCAGGAAGCAGATTGTGGCATTTTTGTGTTTGCTGTTTCTTTTGATGTGTCTGGTTATTTCTTTTGATTTGTCTTATTACTCATAGATTAGCGAATAGATAATGAAAAGTTTGAGTAACAAGAATAGTTGCATATTTATTAAATAAAAGGATGGGTGTGGTGATTTAAAAATACATGTTGAATATTGGGATTTTGAAACCAATAGTTTGAAGAATTGTGCAGCTAAGAAGAGCTGAAAAGTATAGTTATGTTTACAAGCAGAGATTGAAATACATCGTATGTTTAGAAGTATCTTAATCAATATTTTAAAATATGCTTTGTAAGTTCTTTATTTGTTTGACTGTGCTGTTACCAGCATGTGTAGTTGTATAGATTATTGTACCTTCCTGGAAATGTTAGAGTACTTTGTTCTTTATACTTTTAATTGCAGCAATTTAAGTATGTCTATGTTATATATCGCTGCTTTTTAATCATATGTATTAATTGGAACAACCCAGGAATAAAATGTTCTGTAGGACTTAGAATGTACACATATGCTCAAGAGGAACTAAAGGAACAGAACCCTGCATATATTTCCTCCAGCTTCTTATAAAGCAAAGCTTCAATTTGGCAGTACTCATTGCCCTCTAGTTGCCCCTATGAAATATTAAATAGTAGTTGTTTTTTTTTTTTTTTCTGTTTTTCTTTGGAGTCTTGCTCTGTTGCCCAGGCTGGAGTACAGTGGCATGATCTCGGCTCACTGCAACATCTACCTCTTGAGTTCAAGCAATTCTCCTGCCTCAACCTCCCGAGTATCTGGGATTTGAGGCATGCACCACCATGCCTTGTTAATTTTTGCTGACCGTGTTGGCCAGGATCTCATGATCCATCCACCTTGGCCTCCCAAAGTACTGGGATTACAGGCATGAGCCACCACCCCCAGCCAGTGTTTTTTTTTTTTTGTTGTTGTTGTTATTAATGAAATGTTTGATTATAGGAAGAAATTTATTCCACTTTACATTGTTTACTGTATTCTTCTTCATTGTCCCAAAGCAGAAAGTTTGTGCTTCATGTACATTGTAATTATGGATGTCTATATGTTTTTATTCCAAATTTTTTTTTTTTTTGAGAGGGAGTCTTGCTCTGTCACTAGGCTGGAGTGTAGTGGTGCAATCTTGGCTCACTACAGCCTCCACCTCCTAGGTTCAAGCAATTCTTCTGCCTCAGCCTCCTGAGTAGCTGGGACCACAGACGCATGCCAACATGCCTGGCTAATTTTTGAATTTTTAGTAGAGACAGGATTTCACCATGGCCAGGATGGTCTCAATCTCTTGACCTCATGATCCGTCTGCCTTGGCCTCCCAAAGTGCTGGGATTGCAGGCGTGAGCCACCATGCCCAGCCTATTCCAAAACTTTTCTAGGAAAACAGGTAACTATTTCTTCTAGCATTAACTCAGACAAAATTGGGAGCAAGTGATACATACCCATTTAAAAACCAAACTGAAAATGGTGTTTTACCTCTTCCCAAAAAATCAAACAGAGGGAAGCAGAATAGAGCCTCTTCTGACGGAACTAATCCCTGAGAGTAAGAAAACACCTGTCTATACAGCCAACTACTTACCAATTTATGCAGAATAAGATTCTGAGTTTTAAGCTTACCTAAATCATAGAATAATCTTAAATAATGAGAGACAGCTTTCTAGACCTCCATTGCTAAGTTATCAGCTTTGGCTTTGATACAACATTTCTTGTTACAAAGGCAGTATTAAGAGGATTTTTGACTTGGAAAAAAAAAATATATATATATATATATATATATGTGTGTGTGTGTGTGTGTGTGTTTTTCAAATATATGTATGTGGTTATGTAGATTATTGTGGTTGTATAGATATGTGTGTGTGTGTATGTGTATATATATATATTTGTGTATATACAACAAATATATATATTTGTTGGAGGGGATAAAGAGGCTATGTAACTTCCACATTAAAACAGATTATGGGCGTAAGTGACCCAAACTGGGGCTTTGCTTTTAAAAATAAATGAAGAAATAATTGGTTGTGAAGAGAATGGTAGAAGTGAAGGAGAACAAAGCTCTGTTTCCAATTTGTTTCTGAGCACTGGTACATCCATTATTTTTGGACTAATCGAAGATGATCCATTATAATGGAAGAGTAGAGTTTAAGTTCTTCAGAACCATGCCTGAAGAAACCCAAGGCAGACTGCATTGAAATGGCCCAGACTGGGCTGGATGGGGGACATTTTGTACAGAGATCAGGATGTGCCAAAGACTAGTTTTTCCACCAATTTCTGAGCCACATAGTTGTTCTCTTTCCCCAGACTTGTAGAGGATTTTGTGCTCATACACAACTGAGATTGTGAGACTATATGATGAGAAATAATGTGACTTAGAAAAGTAAAATAATGTAGTATTTCTGTCTCCTTAGTGTTTGGCAGGGTAAAATAAATACCAATTAAAACTTCTATTAGGGTTTGATCGGAGAACTATTACTCTATGAATGACATACAATAAGCAATTTATTTTAGGAATTAGATGTTATGTGATTGTGCACTGACTGGTTAAGAAGTCTGTGCAAAGTGATTGACCTTGTATCTGACTGTAAAGCTGTTACAGGTAATAGGTGACAGGTTACAGGTAAGCCAGGCTGGCAGCTGGGACATACAGTGAGGCCTAATAAAACCCACACACTGACACCTTAAGATGAATTAAAACTGATAAGAACAAACTGGAACTTAGATTTGTTTCTCACCATCTCCAACCCAGGTGATGTGGATGAGCTACAGGAGAAGCTGGCAGCTTTCCCCACAGTGCTGGACACACACAGGCTCAGGACTCAGAAGGGAAGAAAGGTCCCATGGGGGTGAAAGTGCTGCAGGCCTGGGTGAAGTCCACAGAAACAAGGTCAGTGGGCGGGATGTCTGTGAGCTGTTCTAGGGTACAACCCTCTACACTGAACCTCAATGAGTAAAACCAACATTGTTTGACAAGCAGAGCCCCAGGCAAAAATGTTGCTAGTGGATTACCAGAAGTAATAGAGAGAAGGACCACTCTTTGTTTCAACCCCTTAATACTAGGTCCACAGACTGTGGCTATGGGGGAAACACTGTACCGCTGTTGCTGACTTAGAACGTGCTCTATTTCCTGGACAGCATTATTCCAGGCTCACAAAATGTTTCCACTAGCTAGTGTGGTAACCAAGTCTTTAGAATTCCATTCCACTAATATATCAGGCCAGTGACATCAAGGTGATTGATCGGAAACATAAGACCAATGAAAATTTCATTTGCCAAAAAATTAGGTCCTTGGTCAGAAGCAATGCTATGTGGAATATCAAGATAAAGGCATTCTGTAATTTCATGGATGAAAGTTTTAGCAGAGCCGTATGGCTAGAAGAGGAGGAAAATCCACATTCAGAGAAAGTATCTATGTTAGTGAAAGCAAAGATTTGCCCCTTTGTTGGGGTCCGGCACGTCTCCTGGGCGGCTACCGACCTGTGGGAGTCCCCGAGACCACCGACATAGATGTCTTGTTCAACCTGAGGGAGAGAGTGCACGGAAGTGAAAGAAAATAGTAAAGCGGAGTCTGGAGGTCTGCGTATCTTATGGTCAAAACGCAGCAAATTTATTCTTGTGGGTTACAGCTTTTATACCTTTTTTCTTGTTACATTTACTTTATCTCAGCAGAAAAAAGGGGTAAACAGAAAGGAAATAGAAACTCCGTAAAAATAGTTATCAGGGGCTTGTGATAACCGCTCACAAAGCAATTTAAGGGGGCTTGTGATAATAGTTTACAAAGCAGTTTGTTTTTCAAAGATACACAGTGCAAACAAACAATGGCGCCTTTCAGGTGGCTTGTTAATCCTGTTTTCCATCAGGAGTTAGATCAAAGGCTTAGCTCCAGGGAAAATATGGGCAGGGGTCTCTTGTCCCTCTTAGGCATCTCAATTGTAGCAAGTTTATTGCTTACACAGAGACTGATGGGGGCATGAAAGCAGACAGCTCAATGTCCTCATAAACCGCAGACCTTTGCTTTGTATTCTGTTTTTGCCTCAGTGACTCAGCCCGTGGTCTTTGTCTCAGCTTGACAGCCCTTGAGAGGGGGGAGTGCAGATAGGTCCAGCAGCCAAGATGGGGCGAGTCACGCTAACTGTCTCAAGCCCTTGGTGCAAACACTGCACACCCTTTTCATGATGGAAATAGTCCACTATAATCAACCTGCTTCCAGAGACTGGCTGAACCCCTCCCCAAACCCCTTCCCATGGGAAATGTTGTTTCATTGGGACTCAGTGGTGTCTGAATGGTAAGTTAGGTTTCAATACTGGCTGCAACTAGATTGGCTGGGTGAGTGAAGTCCGTGTTGCTGAATCAATGTTATTTCCCTACCCATCACACAATGGCCACTTTTATAACAATCCTATTGGGCCAGGATGGGGATTATTACAGAAACAACAAAAACTGGTGTCAAAAAAATATGTCATCTGGCTGGACATGGTGTCTCACACCTGTAATCCCAGCACTTTGGGAGGCTGAGAGGGGTGGATCACCTGAGGTCAGGAGTTTGAGACCAGCCTGGCCAACATGGTGAAACTCCATCTCTACTAAAAATACAAAAATTAGCCAGGTATGGTGGCAGGCACCTATAATCCCAGCTACTTGGGAGGCTGAGGCATGAGAATCACTTGAATTAAGGAGGCAGAGGTTGCAGTGAGCTGAGATCACACCATTGCAGTCCAGCCTCAGTGACAGAATAAGACTACTTTTCAAAAAAAAATCATCTGGTCCTTTTGAATATTATGCTGCTCCTCCGTTCAGATTTCTCCTTGGTAAGAATTTGCATAGGGCACAAATATATTGAGATTCCCTTTCAATTCAAAGAGTTCTATTCTCATCCTTCTTTCCCAGGCCTTCTTGTTAATAATTTTCTGATAGTAATTTTCAATTCCCTTTTCACCCATTACCAAACTGTTAGCCACTGCATGAGTGTCCATTGTCCATGGTTCCTTTGCCAATGCCTTCTTGAAGGCAAAGTGAATGACCAGGTATGCACCAGGTGCTGTCCACCAGGAAGTGTCCTGTACTGAGCATTGCCTGGAGTGGTGCTGTAGCACTTCAGCTTTCTACTTGCAGGTTCTGTAAGTACATTGTGTTGCATTTTCTGCAAACAGGCTCAATTTTTCTTCACTTGTAAACTGTTTATATAGTTCTTTACTTACAGACGGCAACAGGCATACAGGTCATGGGCATATGAACAAGGTACTCATGCAACTTACTTGTATCTTTAGGAGAAGCTAGAAATGGATTAGCACATTATGCTTTCATTTGATAAGGAGTCTGGGGTCTTTTTCTATGGAGCTGAAAAAGACTTGGTCCAAGATTCTGAAAATATGTGTAGTGAGACAGAGCAGGAGTCGGAGTAGCTGTGGCCCATGCCAGCAAGGTGAAATAGCAGTTCTGTGACAATGATATGAGCACTTTACAGATCTTCACAACATTAAAAAGTTACTTTGTATGTTTACTATGTTTTATTTCTTTGGCATATTACAGGTAAGTTGCTGCATTCGTTTCTTTCTAAATATTTTCTTTCTGCACTGTCTTTATAAAACCATTTTCACTTTCTAAGAAGAGGCTGATATTATACGTATCACAGACGCCAGCTGCCATGCTGTTATACTGGTAGGTTGCTAGACCCAGTGCTCTATAGAATGTTATTGACAACAAAATACCACACCGTGTCTCCCGAAAGATGAGTGCTACTTTTCCTCTAGCCGAAAGCAAAGAGGAGGGATTTGATTTCCAGAAATAAGATCTGAAGTCCTGAACAGAATAAATTTCTCTAAGGCAATAGATATTGCAGTAAGTTTCTGCCATAACGAATGCCAAGATAGGTTATCTTCCATGTGCTTAAAGTGTATGAGGCTGCCTGTCAGACTCTTGTCAACAGTAAATGGGTTCTCACTGCCCTTTAATGCAGACAGTAAACCAAACGCCTGCTTGCCATACCCAAAGAATTTCACCTCTGAAAGGAACAATAAGAATTTTCAACCTCAAACCTCTCACTTTCAGTTGGAAAACTGAGACTCATCAAAGTGAAATAGTTTGCTCATCAAAGTGCAATGCTGTGCCCACCAGGCTGAATTCAAGGTAACTTCTATTTCACAGAATGAGTTATGCCCCATTCCATTGATTCTATTGGCACAATGAGAAATAAAAGAAAAACCAGTTTTGGAAGGTGGATAGGATGGAAATTACCAATCATCTTTCTTTGTTTTGGAGAGTAATAACAGCATTTTGTAGATCTTTGATAGTTAAGCAGGGTCATTGGATTTGTTCTGGCTGATAGATTGTGAAAGGATGGGACTTGCAGCCCATGCAGACTGAACAGTAAATGGCTTCTCTAGCTTCTTTCTTCTCCTGCCGCAGTGACCTTGGAAACATCCTGCTGAGATGGAGAAACTATGACTCATTGTGTCTGCATCCCTGAGCTTTCACCTGGAAGAGGCACCAACCTTGTGTGTGAGTAAAAGCTAAATATCTGTTTTGTTATACCACTGAGATTTGAGGGTTTGATTATTTGTTATAGCACCATACACTATTTTACCCTGACTAATATATTTTAAAGTATGCTTATATTAAAAAAGTGATTTATAGAGGCTAGGCAGAAGGACTAATGAAGAGCTGCCAGTGTTCTAATTTTGTCAATGATCAGCTTATGCTGAAGGCATTAAGTGCTCTAGGCACAGGAAGTGTGTCTCCAATTATAGCATATGTTGGATGGAGCATATTTACTTATTGAATATTTATTTAGAATATGCTGGAGACTTTATAGAAAAGTGAATATGAAATAATGAAACCTTAGATTTTGTAAATGCTGAAATGTGTAATTTTAATTCTACTTATTAAAGTTAACTCTATTATAAATGTGGCTAAATTATATACCTTCTGCTTCTGGACATCACTAGTCCCGAATATCCCATCTTTTTTTCCAGATTTCAGCACAGTATAAGTCTGATGATTCCCTTTGGAATCTTACATTTGGGGATGGACCTACTATGAGTATCACAAGTAAATTCTCTAATAAAATAATCAGTGCTTACACTATAGGAATAATCTGCTTGGTTGAGAATCATTAGAGCCTACCAATCTGTGACTATTATTTTTACTTATTTAGAGGACCTTAATGAATGCAAATGTGTACTTTACTAAGTATAAAAGTAAAAGCCTTTTTCTTATGCTTCAGGGGTAAGTCTGCAGACTTTCATTGTCGAAGATATATTTCACTCCGAATAGTGAATCAGAGTGAGGTGAAACATCTGGCTAATAAAACGTCTCAAACCTCAAACCACTTTAGATATCTGGAAATCATCTTTTCCACACATTTATTATAAAACACATAGAGATGCAGAAAAAAATGGCACTCCATGTTGAAGATGGAAAGTAAGTGACATTGCTGTAAAATCCTCGGATTTCTTTTGTGTAGATGTGGACTGTGATTGCCAGTATATGGTGCATAAAGTTGCTGGTCATTGTGTAAATTTAAAATACGGCAGTTAGGCCTGTAATCATCTCCCATACGTGATGGCAAGCCAGGAGGTGGCAGGCCCATGCTTGTTCCTTTCCTCTCTCTGCTCAGCCAGCATAGTCTGTGCTGTTCAGCCTCATGCTGGTCAACAAATGGTCACTTTGTGGTGCTCCAGTTCCAACCCTCAGCTGTGTTGCACGCAGGAAGAAAGACAAGAGCTAAACTGCAGCCAGCAGAGTGTGCCCACTTTGAGAGAGCTTGTCCAGAAGCTGGGGAGGGTGGCATCACGCCTTCTATTTACATCGGACCACCGCTCCCAGCAGTAGCTCCAGCTACAGAGCCTCTTGCTTTCCTCCTTCCTTGTCCTCCTCTGTGTGTGTGTGTGTGTGTGTGTGTGTGTGTGTGTGTATAAAATACTGTATTATCTCATATATTTTTCTGAGTGTATTGGTACCCTGAATGATATTTGTTGGTAGGAAAACAGGAAAGTGTGGACATTTGTGGGCAGCCGACTTTACCAGTTGGGCGTAGACTACCGAAAGATTATCAGTACAATTTATGCTCAAAAAAGTAGTGTGCATGTCTCCGTTACTGTATCTCAAACACCTAGGAGAATACCTGGCTTACAGTTAATACTAAGGACATATATTTGAAGAAAGAAAGAGTTGGTGAATGTATACTCGTTTTAAGGTAGAGTGCTTTCAGCTTCGAACAAAGCCTAATTCCCTTTTCCTTCATTGTTCCTCTATTTCTTTGGGGGCAAAACCATATTGTATTGATGGATGATGGCTGGTGCTTTCACTGGAGGTGCGTGTGGGAGGTACACATCCAGACACGCTTACTCTCTTCGAGTGTGTGATCTGGGGATGAATGTTTCTGTATCAAAATCTGAACTGAAACTGACTCCTTTCCCTTTGGAGTTTAAATTGTTTCAACCACAGAGAGGAGTTGAATATTAACAAGTTAACTACGTTTATCTGCCAGAAAAATTAAATATCAGTACAGAAAATAAGCTTAGAGTTCACTTAAGCTGCAGTAACAGTTTAAAAAGGCATTTCAGTTTAGCGATCATGTATTTTGGATTACCTGGAAATTTCTGTTTGTTGCATTTGAAGTAGTTTAAGGATTCCTGTCTTAAGAGTCCTGGTTGGCATGATGTTAGGTGCTCATGCTACTCCAAGAGGGCCTGCTGATATTTACAGAATCACAAAAGTAATCCATGACCTTTGATTCTTGGTATAATGATCTTCCCTCTATATTGTACTGACTGATTGTGCATGAAAATAATCTTCAAAGTTTTCCTCTTTTTTTTTAATTCCAATTGCTTGGGGCATGCTTCCATAAGAATCTGGTTCAGTGTCTGGCTGGGGCATTTCCAACAAGAATCCTGAGTGATTCTACTGCAGGTGATACTGAGATCACAAACTGAAAAACACTAAAATAAATGAAACGAAGCTTAAATTCTACAGCCCACAGAAGAGCTCATGGAAATTCTTATCAAGTTGAAACCTAGAGAAAAATTTACTGCATGAAGCTAATGACAAGTGTTTTCCTCATTAAAAAATCAAAAGCACAACATTTAAGTATGAATTATCCTGCTAATTCTCACCACGGTAGTGCACACGCCTAATCTACATCATTAAAACATACATTTTATAATCTCTTTGCCACTTTCATGGATAATTGATGTAATCGAATTGAGGTGGAATTGGATTTTTCACTACAGAATACCAACTGTGGCTGCTGTCCAGGGGAGAACGCTGTTCCAAGTACCCAACATTGGCTGCTTTAGTTCATGTAACATTTAATTGGCTGCTGAAAAATAAATTGCAATTAGCATTGACCAGCTTTTAAATATCTACCTTACATTGCAGTTTTTTTCTTTTTATTTTACTGCAAAAGAAAAAAAAATAGAATGCTTAAGAATAGAAACACCTTGGTTTATTTGAAAGTAATACAGACATGCTGGGCCAGAATCATGCTAGTTGCTTTAAATATATTTTATCCAATTTTCAGACTAATGTCATGGGAGATACTCTCTCCATCATATAAAATAGAAGCTTGAAACTCAGGCAGATAAAATAATATGTCTGAGACCCCATTGAAAGTCAGAATTGGAAACCAAGACTACCTTTGGCAAAATGTGATCTTCTCAACACATATGGTCTCTCTCTATCTTTGACTTCTCTTTCTCTGTTTCAATAAATTTCTAACCTATTTCTCCATCCATCCATCCAACCATCCATCCATCCAACCATCCATCCATCCATCCATCCATCCATCCATCCATCCATCCATCCATCCATCCCAAAGGCTACCTACCATACAATTACTATCTACATTCCTAACTCTGCCTACCATACAATTATTTGGCATTATCCGTTAATTGGCAATAGGGTTGCTAGCAGGTGTCCTGACATTTTCCTATAATAAAAGTTCTATAAAGAGTAATAGACTTTTAAGGTGACAAGTTTATTTTCAAGAATGATAAAAATCTTTCCCATCATATGTGAGGAAATTTAGGCCCAGGGAAATTAAGCAACTTCTTTGCACAGGCATATTAAGTTATTGGCAGAGATTAAATATAATTAAGTCTTTTTGACTCATAATTCATTTTTCCAGCTGGAACTTTACGTTAAAGACTACTAGTTAAATATTGAATAAGCTCTAGTATAACATTTCTAGGTAACCAAAAGAGGGAGGAAAATCTATTCATAGAGTCAATTTGTTTTATAAGTTAATTTAAAGACTGATTTAAAAAATCATGTGTACTTACAAATTCCAGGATTAATATCTTTCTTTCTAGAGACTGATGCTGCTGTGTAGAACACAAGGCTGCATTTCTGAATGAAATTAGCCCATTTATAAGGTTTGCCTTCAATGGATTCTGCTAAACCCATGGTGTTGGCCAGATGCAGTGGCTCATGCCTGTAATCCTGGTACTTTGAGAGGCTGAGGAGGGATGATCACTTGAACCCCGGAGCTGAAGATCAGCCTGGGTAACATAGGGAGACCTCTTTGCTACAAAATAACAATAACAGAAATAATAATTTTAAAAGTAAGTAAAATAAAACCAAGATTTCTCTAGTGTTAGATTTGGATAAACCAACCCAAATAATATCTAGCAGTTCTCAGAGCTGCAACAATAGATAAACCATTTACATGGTGTGTTATAGACGATTCTTAAAATTTTCAAATGTCAGTACTGAATGGCAGGGAGTAGGAATAATATTTGTCAGAGCATCTACTAGTGCCAGTCAACATGAAAATGCTTACATGTAATATTGATGCCAATCCTTACAACCGTTCTCTAATTAAATAGATAACTTAGAAATTATAAAAATATTTTGTTACTTCTTTGAAATTAGTGTTGTCATTTTATCAGTTTTCAAACTAAGATTCAGAAGTGGTAACTTCCTTAAGATCACATAAAGAGGATTACATGAAATGCATTACCTGAAAAAAAAATGTACTTCATTCTAATATGAATCACAACATAGTAGAATACGGCAGAAAACATACTTATAACACAACACAGCATGTCTGGAAAATATGAATGTCACGGTTCAGGTTGCAGTTAATAATTGACTTAGACTAGTTTCACAGATAGTAAAATGGTTACATTAACAATTTTAAAATGATAGATATGTTTTTGTTTCTTCCAGAAAATACTTCTCTGATTAAAATATTCAACTATATTCAAAATTCAAATATTTACCAAACTTCTAAAATATCCTACTGTGTTTAGCAATATAATAACTGCTGTTGGCTTTAAAAAAGAATCATAAGACTAAGGACGTTGAGGTTGAAAAATCAGTGAAATCATCCCTACTGATTTTTTTTTTTACTCTTAAAAAGGTTCAGAAAACTGACTTTATACTGCTATGTTTTAAACACCATCTCTTAGTGAAAGCTTGTCTCCTTCAGTGGTCTCAAACAAAGCAGCATATAGATGAGGTGTGGAGGCAGATTGCCTCGGTTCAGATCCCAGTTCTGCCACTGTTAGCACCTACCTTTTATGTTTGTTGGCATTAAATGATTTTAATCATGAAATACTTAACATGTTGCATAAGAAATTACCTAGCATGTAAATATAAAACAACAGTACTAATTATTAGTCAACAAAAACTTGATAATTGCAAGTTCCGAGGCTTTTTTTTTTTTTCTGGTGGAAAGGGGAGATTTTAATAAGTAAGGATGGTAAGGAAAACATCCCTTTTATTTTTGTGGTAATGTGTAATCGTTTCCTAATTAAAATGAGTGTTTATCATCAGACACCCACTGGTCAGACAAACCACAGAGTAATAAGAAAATTGCTGAGTGATGTAGGAAAGTTAACTGGCCCCTCTGCCTTGAAACAAATACAACATTGGACATTGGAGAGGGCCAGAGAGACCATCTTCCCATCTCAGCATAGGAACCTAACCCAAGAAATAGTTTACTATTCTAGACAGAGAATCCATCACCTCCCCCGAAAACTTACTCTAACATTTAATCCTCTGACTGTGGGAGTCAAAATTTAATTTAGAAACAGAAATTTAATTTAAGTCTATGAAAGAGAATGTCATATTTTTTTTGTCTCAAACTCAGCAATTGTGAGATCAATGTTTTATGAATACAGGGTTCTAATTTATAATTTCACAATTATAATTTGTAATTATAATTTCAATTAAGTAGTATTAAAGTAGGGTGGTATTATCAATATTTAATATAGTTTTTGAAAAATTACCACATTTATAACTGATTTATTTAGACAATATTTATCATGTATCTACTATACATCAAGTACTATGGTGTCCTGTTTATACCTTGTCTAATTCTCTGGAGGCTATAACTTTTGTCATTTCTTTATTTTTAACCCCCCCAGTGATTAACTCCATAAATATTAATATACCAGTGTTTGTTAAATTACAAAATTTAGATGTCATATAATGTTTACCATCACAAAATATAAAAATTTAACTCAGTTTACTGATGAAAAGATACAGTCCTCATCTGTCAGGTGACAAGGCATTATTTGATATTTACAAATTTCATATTGAGTGGACTTTATAATTATAAATAGATATTATAATTTGGATATAAAATTCTATTTAGTTTTTAAAGAATTAAAATGATTTGGATTATGTGTTTTTGTCCTATGAAAATAAACAATATGCTGTGGAATCACAAGCTATTTGTAAATATCTGGACAATTTTGTTTCCTGTCTCAGTGCATTTGTAATTTCACAAGTTCATATTTGCACTCTCCACATCACTTCTGCTTTTTTTTTTATGTCCGATTTTTGTCAATTCTTTCTTCACAGAGCTCTTCTAATTCCTATACACTTTTCCTGTTTTTGTTTTTTGTTTTTTTGTGGGTAGAGTGAAGAGGGATTGCAACTCTATTATCTGATTTGCTCAACATGAAAATAAACTATCCATCTCACAATAAAATTATATTATTGGTCTTTTTTGCCTTAGTTTTTTGTTTTAAAGTTATAGATGTATGCAATCTATTTTTCCCCATTTTTGAGCATTTTCTTTAACAATTCAACAACATTTGTTAACTCCATAAGTTTTACAATGTACTCCAGGTCAGTGGCTGGAAAATGCTGGTCTCTAAATCAGTGCTAGCCTGGGTTTGCAGGATTATGGGATACTGAAATAAAAATGTACATTTCCTATCACCACACATAATGTTGATATTCAGTATATTTACAGGGGGGCCATGGTGCAGTATTGTTACTATAGATTTAATGAGGGTAATAACTGCAATTTATAAAAGTAAAAATCATGAAGTGTTTCTGTTAGAAGACAGCCATCTTCCTGCCTCAGTCCTGTGCACATCTTACCTTATTCATTAGGGACCACAATTATTACTGTCATTTTAGGTTTTTTACTTCTCCTGGTCATTACTTTCATGATTATTAATAACATATTTGTGTCACGCTTTGCTAAAATTAGCTAACTTAAACTTTTACCTGATCATGAGATATTATTTGATAAAAGAATGACTTTACCTTCCAGAATCATGCTCCTTGTTTATTATGGAAATCTACCTGTAACCATTTTTTTTCACATGGTTGGAATTGTATTTCTTCCAACTTGAGCTCCAGGAAACTCCAATAACTATTTATAGATTTTTGTGGCATGATTGAAGATTCCAGCCTAAGGACGGAGTGAATTCTGTGGAAAGCTGAGTAGAAATATAGAAAGAAAATAGCCTGTTGCGATACGACTTGAGCCAAACAATCATCACTCAGTAACCTGAAGTTCCACTTCAGACTTTGTTTATGAGCCCTTAAGTTGAAAGCGGCCTAAGAATCCCATTGACTTCTCTTTGGATAAACTTAGAAATGGATCTATCTGATCTGAAAGCTTAAAGCCTACATTTGTTTTATCTGAGTTCCTTCCTCAGGAAAGTACATTCAGGCCTCTCAAAAATGTATCAAATAACTGAAACTCAGCAGATTACTACCACCAGACAATGCATTGTGGACCCCTCCTTCATCATGATTGCTTTCATGCCACTCCCTAGTTCCTATTTTCTTGTACATTGTTACATGTCTTCACTGCCGTATAAACCCCTGGTTTTAATCAGGCAGATGGATTTGGGACTGAGTTCCCATCTCCTCAGCTGCCACACCCCATTAATGCCTTCTTCCTTGGCAATACTTGTCTTCTCAGTTACTGGCTTTCTGTGCAGTGGGCAGCAGGACCTAGACCCTGGTGTTTCAGTAGCAACATTGTACTTATTTTTCAGTTTGAATTGGCTTTCTGAATTAGTTACAAGGTGGTCAAATTGAATGACTTCATATTGAACTTTATTCCATTTTTAAATAAAATTCTAGAAAATGCAAACTAATCCATGGTTAAAGAAAGCAGATCAATGGAAACCTAGGAATGTGGTTAGGGGGGATATGAGGAGGGAGTAGGATAGAAAGATTATAAAGAGTTTAGAAAAAAACTTTTGGAAGTGATTTACATCTTCATTACCTTCATTGTGCTTGTGGATTAATGTCTGTACATATATATATCAAAATGCACCTGAAATATGTGCTTTATTGTACATTAATAATATATCAATAAAGCAGTAAATAATTAACACATTAATTTGAAATTTTCCCATTTCCACCTTACCTTGAAAAATAATATGGAAATATTATACTTGCAAAGTGATAGAGACGTTATTAAGTCACATTTAAATTTTTCAAGAGTTTTCCAATTTTATTAGAAAATATTGATTAATAACTTTTTTATTTAATTCCTAGCAATTGATAGGATTTTTAAATTTGGCATCTCATTTGTCAAAGTATTTGGCATTCTGTGCTCATATTACAGTGAAATATGTAATATGATTATGTGGACTTCCACACAGTAAATGGGATTTGGGCAAATGGTAATTAATCCAAACTATGTGGATTTTATTTCTCCCTTTGGTGTTAATTCAATGCATTGAATCTTGTTGAAACTTTAAAAAGGAAGAATGAACTTTTATTAAGAGACTTGGCCATAAACCTGGCTTCCATTCTGTAAGTAATCATTGATGTAATCTTTTGCCTGAATGTCATTCTTAAGCTTCTTGTGACTTTTACTGAGTTTATATTGAAAAACGTAGGCTACACGTTGACATTAATGTGAGTCGTGTACTCAAGACTAAATCCTTTTTCTTTTAATGCCGCCCCTAGTTCTATTGCCTAAAACCAAAAGGAAATATAAATCTTGCCCTGTTCTGTCTTTTATTCTCCTTAAAAGGTAATATTTATTTCTTCATTTCCTGCTGTATTTGTTCTTTGTAATTCACGTTAATTTTTCTGGTTCCACATCAAGATGCCTTATATTCATAAACTTGAATTTTACTCCTCACTTATTCAAACACTAAGAACAAGTTGTCATCATAAAAATTTTATTTTGCCTTTTTTCTGAGTTATTCTTGTTTATCATTTTAAATTTATGCATCTTTATTTTTCCGAGCCCCTGTTTTTATTGCTGGCTCATCCCATTCAATACCACCACCTCACAATGCCTCCTTATTTTCACAGTATGATATGCAAAACTTAAACTCATGACAGATGTTGTAAATTTGCGTAATTTGATTTGGGGAAAGAAATTGGGTCATTTATCTTAGTAAATTCAAAACATGGTTTCAGATACATCTTTTTTTCTGTAAACATTAAACGTTGAGACAAGCCCTGATGCCTTAGCTTTTTAAAATTTTCCCTATGACTCTACTACTGCATGATTAGAGAGGTTTTCTGTGTTCAATAGTACTGTTCACATTGTTAATATAGATTCTTATTAATTCTACAGGCTTGGTGGTATCTAACAATCGCAGGGAGTGCTGGCGGTAACTCATGAGGTGCACTCATTTTCTTTGCCAAGATTGGCACTGTTTTCATTTATTACTAAATAGTGAATTCCTTAAAATCCATCACAGTTTATAATTATTTATTTATTCATTGCTTTTTCTTAATTCAATATTTATTGATTTGTGTGGAGAGGATGTTGACGATGTGGCATTAAACAAGCGGCTGTGTTCAAATCTTCTAAAAGACTGTTCCTCGAGAATACCTATTTGGAAATGAGTCCCTTACCAAAAGCCTATTAAAGGCTTCAGACATTTTTATAAATTTCACAAATAGAACCAAGATCAGAAATAAATGTCATTAATGATTGGAAGATACAGGTCTGAGTGTGAAGTCTTTATAATTTGTCATGGTTTTGGATGCATGATGACCCCAAGGAGATGTGGTAGCCTTGGGTAAGACTGCATCCCAATCAATCCCCAGAAAAGGTTAGATGTATGAGAGGTCAGATCCAATGCTCCTGGGCTAATGGGTGTCAACAAATAGGAGGCAACTGTGTAAAATATTTTAAGAAATTTATTCTGAGCCAAATGTGAGGACCATAACCCATGACACAGCCCTAGGAGGTCTTGAGAACATGAACCCAAGGTGGTTGGGTTACATTTAGGAGTGCAGAAGTTACAGGTAAAGACATAAATCAATAAATATAAAGTGTACATTGATTCAGCCTGGAAAGCAGGGCTTTTTAAAGTGAAAGGTGGCAGTTGGGTGGAGAGGACTGGGGAGACATCCAGGTTATAGGTGGATTCAAAGATTTCCTAATTGATAAGTTGTTGAAGGGGTTAAGCTCTGCCTGAAGAGCTGAAGAAAATGTTTGTAGTTGAGATAAGTGGTGGTGGAGGAGGAGTCAGGGGATTGTAGAGGCCAAGGTTCTTGTTATGTAGATGAAGCCTCCAGGTAGCAGGCTTCAGAAGAATGGTATCAGACTCCAAAGGGTGCTAGACTTTTAGTTATATCTCTCCTGGAACAGGAAGAGACCTGGAAGGGGAAGAGGATTTTCCACAGAAGAAAGATTTTTCTCACAAGAGACACCTGGGCAGAGCCCTTTCAAATTATGTCAAAGAAATATATTTAAGGGTAAAATATTTTGATTTATTTCAGGGACTTCTAGGTATACCTGCGTCAGGTTGGAATGTGATGTTTCCTGTTTGGTCAATGTTAAGATTTCTGTTTTAATGTTAATGCTGGTCAGTTGTGTCTTAATTCCAAAGGGAGGAGAGTATAATGAGGCATATCTAACCACCCTGTTTTCTATCATAGCCTGACTAGTTTTTCAAGTTTTCTTTGGAATGCACTTGGTCAAGAAGAGGGCTCTATTCAGTCAGTTGGTGGGGGCCTAGAACTTTATTTCTGTTGTACATGGAGAAATGAGATTCTAAGTTGTGGTTGGAAGAATCTGGGTGTTGTATGAATGACAGTTGTCAACCAGTGTGGCTTCTTAGCCTTGGTGCCTACCTGGAATATTTTGTCTTTGTTGCACATGTATAATTTGGAGGATTTATAACTGGTCCTGTGTAATTCTTGAACTGTTCACTAGTTGAGGGTTAGTGAAAAACAATCTTATCCTTTGTGTACTAACTCCATTAGAATATTTAGTAGGTAATTATAATAAATGTGGAAGGCAAGAAACTAATCAAAAGCTATTAGCTCAAGCCTATGTTAAAACATTGCAACATGAAGCGCAGTTCAAAATGACTATATTGTGGGGACCAAGTAGATAAAATATTTTGTAAGATAGAATTACAAAAGGCCAGATGTAACTGCCCAGCAGATTGACCTTGCCCACTGCCTGGATAGAGCTGATTTATCTAGACAGGGGGATGG